TTCACACATGTAGAGAGAAAAAAAACCCCAAACCATTCAGCCGATGGATCAGAACTTACCTCCCGTCTATGACCACCTAAGGGTCTCTGCACCATCTCCTATTTCATCAACAGAAGACAAACAGTTCAATCACTTACAATGAAATGAATGGAATACAGATACCTCCATGTCCCGCCCACCATAACCAGCTATACAGATGACGGCACTTTTCAGGAGCTACAACATGCACCTCCCTGTCCCTCATACAGGAAATGAGAAGTGACGTTGTCACAGAGACAGGAAGGTGTGAACAGCACTAAAAACATTGTCACAACTTCTAACCCTCCCCCGCTCCCTGCTGTGTCTCCATTGGCAAGATTTATCATGACTTCCTGTGCAGACAGGATGTGACGGGGAAAACTACAAGATTTAACAAAAAAAAACATCTACCTGGAGTTTGGGTTTTCATCTTCAGAGGAAGTCCAAACCGAGCGAGTTCCAGAAAAACAAATCTGACATCATTCTGATAACTGCAACTAACAATATGTTCCCCCAGAGAAGGGGCCGCAAACAACAAATTCATTCACTTTTTATCCTGTTGCACCTCGGGGGACTTTGCAGCCACTTCCTGTTTACATGCACTCCAGCGATGGCTGCGTGGCAATTCTCAGGGCGGGTTTCCTGATGGTGACAACAGTGGACCGTGTCTGTGTAGAAACAATCACTGGTCTCCATCAGAAGGCCATCTGACAGGGTGACAAGACAGGATAATACGAGATCACCTGCACCCCATAGAGCGTACAGACCTTGGATGAGAGGTTGGTTCTTGAAGTGACAACACGGATGTCGCCGCGTCAGATACAGTCCATAATAGAAGTCACCAGCACTCGATGATATGTGCAAGAAGTGAAGCGCTTTTAATCCAATCGTCACATGCGTCAAACAGCCAGCGTTTCGGGGGCCACGCAGGGTCCCTTCTTCTGGGCGATAGTGACCATTGCATAAAAAGTGCTTTGCTTCTAGCACACATCATCGAGTGCTGGTGACTTCTATTAAGGGTGACAACACAGGAACACACCTGGGAGATAGGAACGGCATGTTGTCATCGTGTAACAGGAAGTGCCTTCATTGGCAGGATCACCTGGGATCTTTTATTTTGAAATGCAATAGCATGAGTGACCACTCACCTTAAACCCGCGAAGGGCCAATAGAAGACGGCACCCGGCCTGCCATGCTCGATCAGCCGTTCCCTCTGATATGCGGATGAAACAGACGTAGCACGCGGCATGTGAAAGGTGGTATACTTTTATTATGCAGTGGGCGTTTAATCATTAGTTAGCCTTTTACATATGACATACATAGTAAAAAGGGAGGAACAACAAAAAAAAAAAAAAGTTCAACTTTGTGGCAAGTCAGTGCACTTTTGAGTTTTATAATAACACCGTTTTGGGTCATAGAGCGCCTGGTAGTGTCTGTAAAAGGAAGAAAAGGGGGGCGGGGTCTGTCCGCTAAACACATCACATCCTATAGGATAAAAAAAGAGAATAAAAACCATTCGACAAATTAT